CGTAAATTTTAAAACTGCGAAAATATAAAAGTAACGTCGGCCCTGTCCGAAATTCGTGAATAATTTACCTGCGTCTCGTATAAATTTTTTAAAGTCAAAAAACTGTACTTACTGCTTTTCATTTAATTTAATGTAGGGTAGCTGAACCACGGCGTTAAATTTTTCGTTTCGCTTTTCAGACGAGGTCAGCCCGTTAAGAAGAGCAATTAACTTTTTTTAGTGCGCCATTTAATTCGCTTCGCTTTGTACATTATTTACCTTTTCCGCGTCGGTGTCGTCTTGCATTCGTTTTCCACGATAGCCGCAACGTCGACGGGGCGACGGCGGGGCCGGAGGGCGGAAGCTCGGTAAGGACCGGAACCGTAACGACAATAATTATTGTCGTTAATACAGCTATATATCGTGAACTTAATTGAAACTGCGCTTTCGTCTGCAGTAATTACATCCACGATACTGCGACCGAGACGCAACGGAGTGCCGTAGTCACCAGTCGTTACGTAGGAAACACATTTCCCTTAGTTTTCCCAGCCGGGAGATTAGTGAAAATGCAATACAAAAACATACAGACGAAATTTACATCAAGTCCGAAAACATCGGAATCTAAACCGGTTTACTGATCGACTGGAAATGTTTTAAGGCTTCGGCCCGGATCATATTCGGCATATAGGGCCCGGATAAGAAAATTTTCATTAAGCATGAATCTGAAATCTTACGTTAAGGATCCTAAGAACATTCGGACCCAGTTAAGCAGCCAGGAATTATCTGGATAGGACTACTATAGATGATTTGGGCTGGATCAGAAATTGAACCGGTAAAGGTCTAGATGATGGCCTCCACCCCCTTCGGGCGTGGGATGGGGGGGATCGAAGAAGGAGGTCTCCCCCATCACTGTACCATAAAAGGTTCGTGGCGGTCTCACTCCCATAAAAAGTTATAGGTGTTCAAAGTTAATAAATATGCCAATTTTTATACATTTCTAGGCATGTAAATCTTTATATAATCATTCATAAACAATATTCAAAGGTAAAACTAATAGAAAAATACATAAAAATATTGAGAAAGTTATATAAAACATTATTTAAATATCTTTATCAATAGGGTAGGTTAGGTTAGGTTAGGTTAAGTTATTGGGTTTTGTTCAAGTGACCACCTTCTTTCGATCCCCCACCTCCACCCGCTTGAAAATATTTTTTTTATTGAATTTTATTTGAATTATAGTCAAAATAATCAACTTTCAACCCTCCATAACTTTTTATGAGGGTGAGACCGCCTCAAATTTTTTATGGGGTTTTACTCAGGTGATCACCATCTTTCGATCCCCCTTACTCCCACCCCCATCTAACCCCCTTCGGGGGTGGGGACCATCATCTGGAAATTTACCATTGAACCTTTAGAGCATTTCGTCCTAATGAGACAACTAGATTTGGTTCAGATAGGTGGGCCTAATACATAAGTTGACCTAATCAGGTTATCTGATTTTGGGCCGGATTAGCAAAGTTATACCTTAAAACATTTGGGTCTAATTAGGAACTACTTCCAGATGTTACCTTTCAAACATTCTGGAATACTAAGCAGACATAGTGTATATATAATGAGTTAAAATAGGACACCCCATCGGGCAGGGCCACATGCCTTAATAGAGCTTTCCGCAAAAGGGTTCACGTAGGGTTGCTCAGTCTCCGATTAGAGTAATATAAACGCTTAAATTAAATTGATAAAATCAAAAAGTGAGAAAAACATTTGAAAAGTACTCTCTTTATATATTTTACGTATTTATAGTGGTTCTCCTTTATTTATATCTATGTACCTGCACAAACTATGTGATCCTACAATTTTAATCATCTGTTTGAGACTTTTAGAACAATGTACCGTTCGAAAGTGTACGCTGATGATATTTCAAACTCTTTTCTTTTCTGTTTCTAAAACAATGTCTGCTGAGAGTGCAAACTGTCGACCCTGTTACTCCTTTCTCCTGAGGACATATCAAACTCTCGGATCTAAAGAAGGGCTGTCAAGCGTTGAGATGAAAATCGTAAAAAGTTACATTTGGAAAGATGTTTCATAACGAAATATTTACGATGTCCTAAAATGACGCCGGCAGCATCACTTTCATGGGTTAGGAAAGCATATTACATCCAGAGTATCTTTAAGTGCTCTTCAGGAATGTTGCGGCGGAATAATAATATTGACATAAATTTTTAATAATCGCATGCTTTTTACTGAAACACGAAAAACTACCAACGGAATTACTTATTCATTATTCATTCGTTTCTTGCTAGAGAGTGTTTTCTAAAACCACTTTATTTTCTAATAATCATATTGATATTGAAAAGTATGAATCTAAAAATTTTGTATCTATTGATGTCGGCCAAAGCCGATTACAGGGTAAATCAATGCTATTATCAGTTGATGGGATTAAGGACTTATAGTCAGTCTTAATGAAAAGCAACAACAATATTCAGAACAAAAAGAATTACGAATGCCAAAATTAAATTGGTAGATATCTAGGTACTTACAAGAATTTTGTCATTACGTGCATTCTGGCAGGGTAATTAAACTAGATTTTCGTAAAAGATGAATTTGGCGTCAGCATTCCCTTAGTCACTTTTACATCTTTGACTTGGCATTAATTAAATTTTAATTCAGCGTTATTGCTTTCAGGAATTTCGCAATAAAACTGTCAAAGCACTATTTAACACCAATTTCCCAGTAAAATGTATTCGGCGCGAGATTGATTCAAGCTGACATTTCTTCAGGAATGTTGATTAACAAGCAATTACTTAGAGAGAAACTTGTTTCCTTTGAAATGTTATTTCTACAATTTGATAGGATTGCGGTTAATACATACAAATAACAGAAACGCTAAAGCCATTAAATATACCTAAAGAATTCTTAGCACCTTGAGACATTCTTTTCAATTACTTTTAAAGTAAAATAACTCGAAGTGGTCTGTATTCTGTCGAAACTGCCAGACGCGGATCGCGATTTCGATCTTTTTGGATCTCATCAGCGCGTCGCAGGCAGCTCCGACAGAACACAGACCAACTTTTACCTGCTGTCTTAACAGTGCGTTTTAGAAAATACTACAAACGGCACAGTGCACGCCATCTGTAGCACGATGCTACATTTTAGGATTACGTATTTTTTTACGTATTTCATTACAGATGGCGTTCACTGTGCCGTTTGTAGTATTTTCTGAAACGTGCTTTTAAAGTATTCGGTCTCGTTTCTTTTCAAGCGATTCTTATCGAATTAGTAGTGAAGTTAGAGACATTATTGTATGTTGTACTTGGTCGAAGAGCATGTAGAGGGTGAGAATAAACTGCGACCATTTTTATCACGCACCAAAAGGAAAACGAAACTTTTGATGGTCGTCGTTCAAAAAAGTAAAGCTAAGGAGAGTAATTGAAGCCAGGATAATTCCACTTTATGAGGAGGCGTATTTCATCAGGACACTTTACTAGCGGCGTAAGCAGGAATTAATAGCTTCCACAAACGATCGCGTGTTGCTTGGTCCCAATGGGGTAGTTGGGAGGGCAGGCGACGGGCAGGGTCGGGTGGCTGTGTCGACAGCAGCACAACCGGCAATCAGGGCAACTCGGAACTGCCGCTATAAGGCCATAATGGCAGATTGTAACATGTTCGCTGTCGTAATTGAATATTTCAATATTTCAAAGTTTGCGATTTTTCAGCACCTGCCAAAGCACGTAATTCGATGGTGTGATGAAGAGGCGCGAGAGGGATTGCTAAATGGACGAGTGGCTGTTTGAACTCTGAGATTTGCTTTGTTTTTGAATAAAATAAACGGGCTTCGGCAATAAAAGCGCCTTCTTGTAACACCTGTTTGAATCTAAACAGCCAATTCGGTAAAGGGGTGTCCAACATTTCAAATTATAACATTATCTCTCAATATGAAACACTTTGACATTTAATAGGGGTTAATATCAAATATTAGTGTGAAAATTCATTTTAATTTTCTCTCACTATAAACTACCTCAAGAACCTGGGAGAAAATTAAAATGAATTTTCACATTAATATTTGACATTAACCCCTATTAAATATCAAAGTGTTTCATATTTATAGTATTAATATAGTTACATTAGTTCGACAAATCTCTGACCTAATATGCACGGTTTGTCATTGTTACTGTTGTCACCTCTTGTAGCTTAGTGGTGAGAGCATTGGTGCGTAAAGCCAAAGGCCCCGGGTTCGATTCCCGGCAAGGGTGTGACAACAGCTACAAATTTTTCCCTCATTCACTTCAAGTAGTTTATATTGTCAGAAAATTAAAATGAATTTACACATTAATATTTGATTATCTCTCCCTTTAAACTAACGACTATCCTTTCGTCTCCGATCCGATTCGAATAATGAATTCGATTTTCATACTTAAAGAGGGCAACAAAGCCCTATTATCCTGCTTTTAGCCGAAAACATTAAACATAAAAGTTATAGATCCCGATATACTCTCTACCTCGCGCATGTGCAGTGTCTCACAGCGCAACGAACTGCCAAGCACAATTTAATGACGTTCTTTACAGCTCGCTACGTACATTAAGCAAAGTTTCTAGTTTCTACCCTTGGGGTAAAGGGGTGTCCAATATTTCAAATTATAACATTATCTCTCACTTCAAACTAACGACTAATATCCGTTCCTCTCCGATCAAATTTGAATAATGAATTCGATTTTCATACTTAAAGGGGCTAACGAAGCCCTGTTATCCTGCAAATGCGATTTTAGCCGAAAACATTAAACATAAAAGTTATAGATCCCGATACACTCTCTACTTTCGCGGATGTGCAGTGTCTCACAGCGCAGCGAACTGCCGAGCACAATTTAATGACGTTCTTTACAGCTCGCTACGAACATTAAGCAAAGTTTCTAGTTTCTACCCCTAGTCTTCTTGTATACAACTATATGTACACGATTTTCGCAACTTATTAAAATGTATTTCGTGCTAAAATACACATTTCAAACTATGTAACTTCTCTGTTTTAGTTTCGATGTGCGAGGAAAACCTCTAGAGCAGGCGCGCCATTGGTCGGCACCGGAAGTTTTCGGTTCGAGAGCGTACTTCCGGACTTCTAGTGATCCTGCACATCTTGTCGTCGACGATATTCGTCGACATGACGAAGGAGTTTACAGATGCAGAGTCGACTTTAGAAACGCCCAAACCCGCAGCTTTCTCTACAACTTAACAGTTGTTGGTGAGTCAAGTTTACAGATGCATCACATTAACTGCAACATTCTCTGGAAAGAGAAACATGTCCAGATTTATGTTTAAAGGATGTTGTGCATTTTGTTACCTTTTATTATTATTCTCCTGGTCTTCTCAGTTTTCACTGGTAACTTTGAGCAAGTGAAGACGGGGCTAATGCCAAAGAACCTCACTCACACATCTTTTGGGATATAGAAACCAATTTTCTGTTCTTAAAATTTAGGGAGCTAACGGTTCTTCTTGCCCTGAAATATGATCAGTGAGAATAGGCTTATTATTATTACTATTATTTATTATTATCATATTATCAAGCAATTACATTATTGTGTATACCTAGTGATAAAAAGATATTTGTTTCGTTGTTTTTTGTATTCGCGTTCAAGAAAGCAGCTACAACGATTTCTTTGAAATTAACAATGTGGAGGTTTATAAGGGTGGAAAAATCAAACTAGGTATGTCTCATTCCTCGGAAAATTCGTTTCCTCCGTGCTCTCACACACAGAAGAACAAGAGAACAGCTTCTGCAAATAGTCCAATGGTCAGAGCGTAAATCTACCGCGCCAGATTGAGCGGGTTCGATTCTTGAAATTTGATCAGTTTTTTTAATTCTTTTTTATAACATGTAGGAAAGAAAATTTAGGTTACAAACTAGGAACGAACACTTTACATCTGTCCTTAGCACTGTTCGGTTTTCTAGGTACCTACTATAATTCTAAATTTCGCACTAAGCGATGTTTTTCATTGCACAGGTAAAAGAAAAAAGTTCCCAAAATCATTAATATCTAATTGTCGAATTATAAACCTATATGTAACAGACTAAACCTAATAGATCCAATTTCTGGTTGTGACAATTTAATTTAGTATCTACCAAAAAAAAACTGGTGTAATGTGGTTATGTACCGATGTGGAATAAACGGTAGAAATGTCAATTTGCTTTTGCTGCCACAATGTAGATTGCATGTTCGTCGGATAATTTACTGCCACTGGCAAAAGTTAAAATGGTTCCCACTGGTTTTAGTTTAAATTTTGTTAATTAACCGCCCGCAACGTATCTATCATACTATCTCCGAGGAATTTCCCGAGAGTTAAGGAAAATTGCACGTGGAAAAGCCTCACAGCATGCAAATATTTCCTCGTTGCGGGGAAAATAGTTTCCCTTCTACTAATCAAATTAATGTATATTAATGTACCCCAGTAATTAGTCCTGAGACCTATTTAACTATTCTATTATGTGTTTTTAATAGAAAAATATACCTCACAATTGTATATATAACGTATATAGTCCGTGTTATAAATGTTGTATGATTTTCAGTAGTCACCAATTTCCAAAAATGTTTATTCCTAAAACACAAGTTAGAAATTCGAAAAAGGTTGTTAAAGGTGTATGTTTGCAGTACGGCGTTGTACTGGTGCGAAACATGGACAGTGGGCGCGGCGGAAAAGAAAAGGTTAGAAGCGTTCGAAATGTGGTGTTATAGGCGGATGATGAGGATAACGTGGGTAGAAAAGGTTAGAAATGAAGAGGTATTAGAAAGAATAGGAGAACAGAGGACTCTATGGAAGTCAAGAAAAAATAGGCGAGATTACTGTTCACAAATAGTTAAGGATGTGGGCTGTTCTAGTTTTACGGAAATGCGAAGATTAGCTCAGGATAGGAAAGAGTGGAGGTACGTTTCGAACCAGTCTTAGGACTGACGACCTTATGATGATGACAAGTTAAAAACCCCTAAAATCGCCGACAAATTTACTCGGGAAAATCCCCAAAAAATAAGTGTAATATTATTCTTTGCAATTTCTTTATTAATGTCCATTCTCTTACTAAAAACATTTTAAACATTTCATTTTCTTCTGATAGTTCCGTTCCATACATTTGAACAGTGTTCACTGTCCAATGTTTAGTTGAAGCTTTTGTTACATGCCTATTAATGTTTTAGATGTTTAGATAACCCTTAATAAATCGGATTTAATTTTGACTTAATTAGACCGCAAAGTTTGCCCATTCACGGGCCCCAAATGCATCCGCAAGTCTCTTGTTTAGATATTCTGTCCGTTTGCTTTACTAACAGACTGACGCATAATTGCTCGTTATTCGTGTGTAATAAGCTAAAAAGTCCCCAATTAGTATGCTTTAGTGGCGGAAATGTGTGCACGTACTACTCTGATTTTACCGAACGTTTAACTTGCCGAATACATGCTGGAACGTAACATCGAGCTCGATTCTCGATTCACATATTATTAAAACTTGTTACTGACACCGCATTAAATTCTCCTCACGCAAGTCCCCCGCACTGCGTGTTCCGAATTCTGAAAAACGCTTGTCTAATGAAGAAATGTAATTTACTGGTTCCGTTGTATAATCAACATGGTGTGAATGGCGTTTATTCGAAATCAACGCTATATATACGTCGTAGCCATTAAGAATAATATTAACTACTTTTGATCACACCCAGGCAGTAGGGGGAAAGATACTCCCCGATAAGAGTAGGCGCAGAGACAAAAAGTCTATTTTTCAGTTATTTCGTAATGACCTGCTAGTTTTAATACATGGTTGGTATCCCGTGATATGAAAAGGAAAATAAAATTTCCCTTTCACGAAGCAGGGAAAGAACGAATATAAAGATAGGAGACGAAAAAATAGAAGAAGCGACTGAAGGTGTATATTTGGAGAGCGGCGCTGTACGGGTGCGAAACATGGACGGTGAGAGCGGCGGAAAAGAAAAGGTTAGAAGCGTTCGAAATGTGGTGTTACAGGCGAATGATGAGGATACCATGGATAAGAAAGGTTAGAAATGAAGAGGTTTTCAAAAGAATAGGAGAACAGAGGACTCTATGGAGGTCAATAAGAAATAGGTGAGATATGTTAGTAGGACACCTTCTCAGGCATGAAGGTCTAGTCAGAAACATATTAGAAACAGAAACGGGAGTTAGGAGGGGTAGAGGTACAACTAGATTGAATTACGGTTCACAAATAGTTAAGGATGTTGAATGTTCTAGTTTTAAGGAAATGCGAAGATTAGCTCAGGATAGAAAAGAGTGGAGGTGCGTTCCAACCGGTCTTAGGACTAACGACCTTATGATGATGATGAAATATAACAGTTTTTCTTTCCACCCTTTCCTCCTACGACTCACTACTGTATCAGGCCACGGCTTACTAAAGCAACCCCAACTAAATATACAAGAGGATTGCTTTTGGCATTAGTTTATTTTATGAACTGATCATTTTGGCATCTGAAAATCAAACTTCCTTACTAGTACTAATACTACTAATTTGTAATTTATAGAGTGGCAGTTATTAACTGATTTATGCGAGCGTATTTCATATGGATTCGGCCGTAAATCAATCAGGTAGTTTTCATCTCTTATTAAGGTTGCTGTTATTCATTTCGTTTTTATAGGATTATAACATAGTGACATTAAAACGGATTTTTCAGCAACACGATTCTCAAAATGAGAAAACGAGTGGTCTGCAAATTTAATAAAAATCATGAATTTTAAAGGAAATAATAATATGTCCATGAATTGGTACAAAGAAGATTGCTTGCAAATTTTCAATTAACAAAAGAACCCAAGCGTTAAGTAAACTTTAAACACACGATAAACAAAAGCAGTTAGTTAAAGATAAAATACAGTTAAAAAAAAGGGAATAAGAATTATTGCAACTTTGTGAGTATTGCAGCAGGTAGGTTCTTAACCTCAAAATACTTATATCGTATCATTAGAATTGTGTTAAATCAATTACACAGGAATAAATAATTTCTCACTTTATAATTTTAGTATGATTCTAGTTTTAAATATTAAGGTTATGGCTGATGGTAAATACTTGCTGAAATATAATCATGTGCATTAAAATGACGTGAACAAATTTTTATTTCGGAATTCACTTCTTTGATACCTACTGCTTTCATCCAAGCTTCTATTAGTTTACTTTTTTATCTAATTTTCCGAATATATTTTTTACATATATAAAACGGTTAGTTTTTATTGGAAAGTAGTTAATGTAGGTGAAGAGTGAAGATCTATGTCTGAAGTGCTATTGCAGCTTTTCACTGAACATATTAACTTTTTATTTGATTTAACTTTAGAAGAAAACTTCGTCGACTCCATCATCAAAAAAATTTTTACTTTTTTAACTAATAAACAATTTTACAATTTGCGTGCACAGTTCCTATGTTAATTTTTCCCTCATTCGAGTTATAAATTTTGCCACCAGATGGTGTATGCCCATTTGACGGGTCCCAATACTGTATTATCCAAAATTGATGAAGAAATTAAATAAACGGAGAACGTTATGTCGAACTGGAGAAGTTATAACAAGAAACAATTAGTTATAATATAATTCGGGAGGTGAAGTTGTATCGAGTGGTGCAATGCAACTGATTAGTTTGAAGAAATGCTGTCGGGGGATTGCAAAGTTACAAAGGGAAATAAGCTGACATTACGAGAGAGCGAATTCGAGTGGAATTGTATTCGACATTAATCCGAATCTACGAGGAAAAGCTACATGAATTAATGTACATCCGTATACATTTCTAATTTATGCGTCATAATGAATCAAGATATCCAAAATAATAAGTGCCTGAAGCTCGTTGAGAAGTACATAAGAGCCCGGGTGTCTTCCTTCTCTTTTGTTTCCATAATTGAATCCGAACGGTACAATTACAATTGCTTTCATTTATTTATGAACTTGGCACTTGGAGGAGAAAATTGCGTGAATTCTCTCTGTCATATTCACGTCGCGTCTGTCTCTTTTTCTTCGCCTCTTATGCCTTAATGGAAATTTTAAGCTACAAATAATAGCGCGCCTCAGCGCTCAAAACCATGGCAATTATAAATTATTAAGGGGTTGAAACAGCTTTTGTTGCCCCGATTCTCCGAGAAAATGGCGCAAACGATACGCCGCTTCTTATTTGATAGCCAACCCACGGGAAAGTCGTTAGGAAGAACAATTAAAGAAGTCATATAACTGTTTAGTTATAACAATGATGGCATCTGAAAACGGACTGTTTTGTAGCAAAGTAACAAAGAAAGAAAAATGAGAAAATAACAAAATACTTCATACGTACCTACAGGTGTATCATCTACATTGGTAACAAAATATGAAAACCATCTACCTACCTTCCAAAATTTTTACAGATAAATAATCTATTAATTACTACTTCGAATGATCTACTAAATGACGAAGAAAAGGAACAGCTGCGAAGATTATGTATGATTCATATTTTTTCTGTTTGAAGTGATTGAGATATAGATAGTTTTTCTATCTTTATGTTATACTTTCAGTCCAGCAACAAATAATTCTTCTATATGCATCTTTATTTGTCTTTGTCACTGTTTTATTTGGAAAAAAGACACTGACGCCGAAATAGTTTGCTTAGCCTGAAAGATCAGAGCCAAAATAGGGTTGCAAATAATTTTATTGATGTAAAATCAACATCAATCATTTTATATCAAAATATTCTTTTCGAATCGTTTTCTAAGAATTTTGGATTGTATGCATTTATTAGCACACCACAATATTTTGTAGTTTTCAGTTTTATACAGCTGGCGTATATAAATTCAATATTATTTTGCGGGTTGTTTTGTCTTAATTCATAAAATTTCGTAGTTCTTTGCTAAAGGTACGATAAGTGGTGGTTTGGGAGATGCTGATATCAATTTGGAACTTCAAAATTTCGTGGACCATGGCACTGAACACGAAAAACGATATCAATCCAATATTTTAGGTTACTTATCTATTTTCTAGGAGTTTAGGATTTTTTGGTCTCTATTCAGTTAAAGAATTAAATGGCATTCCTGGAATATCTCATTGTCCCCTTTTTAAGCTTCTAATACGTTTAATAGCCAATGTGAAGAACTTTCATTCTACTAAAGTAAATTAGGCACTACTTTTAAACATATATTAAATACTTTCATAGCCCATCAACAACTAATATTGCACTAGTGTATTTCGTCATAACCAGCCAGGATAAATCAATGATTTTCGCACATAAGGGTAGTATTTGTGAAAATCTGTTTGGGATTGTATTTTGCTACATTTCGCTAAATCTTTATATATATTAATACAAAATTACAGATAGGTATGTATTGATCAAATAATTTGAATACAGAATTAATAAATAAGTTAATAGATACACTTGTACAATAAAAGTCTTTTCCTATTCGTTCTTATAACGACAGCGGGATTGAAACGTAAATTAGAATCACGTAAATTTAAGTACAGATGCTAATTGAATTATCCTGATAAATTTTTAAACCAAAGACATCACATTGCCTGTCAGACTTTCATTTCCTAACTTTAAATTGACAACCCCTCTTATTTAATTTTCATGTTGGGAGTAAAATTCTCCAGCGAATTATAAAGTTAACCGTGCAAGTGGATAACGAAGGTGTGCGCAATCGCGGACGGGTCTAATCTCTTTCAGTGGCCGAAATTAAACATCAAACTCCCAAAATAAATCATTTAAAATCCGGGACCGGAACGAAACATATGGGCCGCGCGCTTTCTAAAACGGCGGATGAATTAAGGCTGCGGCAATTAATCAATAGGTGATGGTAGGGTATAGGTGGTAGAGGTATAACCGGAGGGTATCAAACGGGACTGCCGGCTTCGCTCCGATGCCATCGCGAACAACCAACGTCAGGCAAAAGTGATTAGAGCCTGAACTGATGCGTAATACTGATTAATCGCAAGAATTTGTCATAAATAAAGCGGATCCGTTACACCTGATACACTCACTCACTGCAACCAACCCCAATTGCTAAATCGTTCGATTGACCTCGTCGTTCTGCTACCCCCTTTTTACTCTTTATTCGAATTTATTTTTCGAGTGGGTAATTACAATTGTAATAAACTGCAACCGGCACTTCAAGACACAAATGGAATCGGTATATCTTCCTGATGTAAGGAAAAACGTTCGCTGAACGTAGAAATTACCAGTGATGTCAGTTTTCTTTTACCGCCTCTTGAAAATGATGCGTTGCACAATATGCAGAACCCTCTCATTTTAGATATCTAGGAGATTAATAATTTACGATTTCATTAACAAAAAGAAGTTACTTTTATGCTCGCGAAGGGTTAATTTAGAAATTCGAAAGAGATTAGTAAATGTGTACGTGTAGAGCACGACTTTGTACGGGTGCGAAACGTGAAAAGTAGGCGCGGCGGAAAAGAAAAAGAAGCACTCGAAATGATGAGGATACCGTGTCTAGAGAAAGTTAGAAATGAGACGACATCAAAAAGAGTAGGAGAACAAAGGGCGCTATGGAGGTCAATTGGAAATAAGCGAGACTGATTAGTAGGATCTCTTCTCAGGCATGAAGGGTTAGTTAGAGACATATTAGATGATAATCTTCATGATGATGATGACAATATGTACTGGGCTTTATATAGGATAGTCTAGTTTTAGGGAATTGCGAAGTTTAGCTTAGAATAGGAAAGAGTGGAGATGCTATGGCATTGTATTAGCGACCCTATGATGATAATTGTAAGCATGATGTGATGACAATATGTATTGGGCTTTATGTGAGATGCTCTAGTTTTAGGGAATTGCATAGGAGAGAGTGAAGAAGCTTGCCATAGAACTGGCGACTCTATGATGATGATCATCATCATGATGCGATAACAATATGCAATGGGCTTTATGTGGGATGATCTAGTTTTAAGGATTGCGAAATTTAAGTTAAGATAGGAGACAGTGGAGATGCTTGCCATAGGACTGGCGACTCTATGTTGATGATCATCTTCATGATGTGATAACAATATGCAATGGGCTTTATGTGGGATGCTCTAGTTTTAGGGAATTGCGAAGATTAGCTCAGGATAGGAAACAATGAAAGTGCTTGTCAAATGATTCATAGGGCTGACGATCGTGTGATGATAATGGTGATGACTATGCATCGAGCTTTATTTACCTATGTCTTCTACAGGTTTTTAAAAGCTCACACCTAACATTTCTTACGTTTATTAATTTTTTTCCTAATTTCGAACACTGGGTATAATCGTAACAACAATTTCTTAAAGATTGAGAGATAAGTTAGGACACATAGTGAATCGATTAGGAGATACTAAGAGATGTTATTATTTTTTTATATCTCCATTCCTATTCGGTTCAGATGAGTATTTGGTACAGAAGAAGCTAAATATTCGGTATTCTCTTATTCCGCTAAACCACTATTTATATAGCCATGGATTCCTTTAACGATTATAAATTATAGAAAACCTACTTTCTTGTTCGGCTTTCAAATTAAGTTCCTTTCGAGTTAACCAGGAGCTTCCTTTATTCAACCGTACAGCGATCGTAGCTGAAACGAGATTGTTTGTAGTCATGTTTTGGTTTCAAATACACGTATCCTGTTCTTCGTAGGCAATATGTGTCTCCTTATATTTGCTTTGTGTTTCGCTTACCTCAAATTATGCGATCGTTCAGCGTCGAGAACACGGCTCCTCGCGGACTAAGCATGCACTTTAGCCTATTCGTCCGGATCTCAATGCATTCACCTAAAATAATGCACTTGGTTGTTCTCACGAAGGCAGCTGCTCTCAGTGCGATCTCTTTTTTATGTTTTGTTCGCTAGTATCACCCACTTTTGCCACCGCATCCAATTATCCGATCTGTTGCGAGAGTCTAATCGTAAAAGGAAAAAAGGACATGGAAAGCATTCTCATTACTGTTTGAGCAGTTACAATTAAAACTACAATTTACTGTAACTACGGTGGATTTTAGGTGTAACGACGACGAAGGGACCGCTGTAATTTCGTCGTTATATCCGGAAGTCGTTACAGACAATGGTGAATAGATACAGACACGTATATATGGTTTTCACCATTTTCCAATTTTGAAATGACGTCCGCCCATTCTCCACAATTTCTTTGTATAACTCTCCAAAGAAACGATAAGTATTTTCAATTTTCCAAAAGATATGGAAACTCTAATAGATTGGTGGTGATCATTTTTTCCCTGATAAGAATGTTCAAGATAGATCCAATCTGAACTATTTTCAGGTAAATTAGATAATTATATCTAACAATATTACCCGACGTTTCGCCCCTTAGTGTGGGAATTATTGAAGGCTTCTACAATTTAAATTTTAAACAATTTATACAATTAAAATTGTAACTGAAGAGGTCCCAAACCAAAGCGAGAAACGTCGGGCAATATTGTTAATAAATAAATATCTGTTTTACATAGAAACGTTTCAGATTGGATCTTTCTTCAATTAACTAAACCTTAAAATGATAAATAAATTTACTGGTTAAAGTTACAAGTAGATTGATAGATAACTACCGAAACAATTTTCAAACTCAAAATGTTATGTTAACACGTAATTTACAGGTAATCCACATAATCATAAAATAATCATAAAGTTTTTAACTTTTACGTATTGCGTGATCCTCCCTTTTAGGGACAATAGAATGTTGAATTTGAATGACATTAAACTCGAGAAGGCTGTTTAAAAAGGATCTTATAAAAGGATGTCGAACCGTCTTAAGTACCAGTGATTTCCACCACAGCATCGTCTCATTCAAGACTACGTATTACCTTCTGGAACATTTAAACTTAACATAATGTGTTTGAAAAGAACCACATTTTCTAAATCAGCCTAAAACTTACTTTAACATTACCTTAAATTACTTTTTTATGTAGGTTCTGTTAGCTCGACAAATGAGTAAATATCTATTATAAATGCAATCTTTAAAAGGAAATTTGTTTCTTAACGACTTTTCACCGTTGAACACTAATTTGACCTCCAAAGTGCTTTTAATATGTCACAATTTAAAGATAGTTTTTGGTGGTTCAGATTTGATGGATTCTGAATCTAAAATTCTTAATATTTCGAATGTTACAAATATTTACGTATTTCTAAATCCAGATTTACATATTAAAGGAATTGTATAAATATTACTTTAATTTTATATCTTTTTAATTTAAGATTAAGCCGATTGAAAACTTAAGCTTAATCTACTTTGTCCTTTCTTTCCAGTTCCACCTGAGCAAACTGTCATTTTGGACAAATGGGGCCGGAAACTAAATGGCACGGTAGGTCCCCACGAAGAAGGCGATGACGTCTACTTAACATGTAGAACGGTCGGAGGTCATCCCGAGCCTGTTGTCCGCTGGTTGGTCAACGGTATCATTGAAGATGAGCAGTACGAACATAACGCAGGGGATGTTATCGAGAATCGCTTTTTGTGGCCATCCGTTACAAGGAAAGACGTCGACGCAATCTTTACTTGTCAGGCATTCAACACACAACTGATTGACCCCAAAGAGGCCATGGTCACTCTCGACTTGAACTGTAAGTAACAATCGAAGGAAACACTATTTTCAGTTAAGTTCAGTCTTCCATATCTAAAAGGGTAAAACAACCTGACTGCATGTGGCGTGCTGATGATATCTAGTAATATCAAAATCGTGATCTACGTCTGTCAGTTTCAATATATTAATGCCCGAGAACTTATATCGAGCTTATGGAACCGTATATTGTACAAAGTTAGTTAAGACTTAAGGATGTTTGAGAGGTACAATCGGAGATAAGAGTACATAAAATTAGAAATTCGTGATTAATTAGGTTTTGCAGCATATCATGAGGTAAATAAATACTATCTATACTAAAAAAAAGTATACGGTTTGAGAGAAAATTTGGAATTTGACCAAAAACTTTGAATAAAATAAGAAATAACGAATAATATGGAAAATTTTTAACTGACTTTTGGCAGTGAATATGCCTTGATTTCAACTTCGAAACAAAAAAATATTTAGTTTCAATCTCTATTAATAATGAGCGTAAAACTTTTTAATATGTTTAAATAATAATTAAAACTTTAAAATTGCATTTATTTCAGACAATTATAAATATTATCATTATATTATCAAGTAAAAACGAGATTTTCAGCTAATTTTTCATTTTTTCCTCGATAACCATTTAGTGAATTTGAATAACTTTACGCTACAGTGGTTCAAGTTACTTATAAAAGTTTGAAATTTCTGGTAGCTTTTTTTCTGTTAATAAAAATAAATTTAATCTGTTCGGTCAACGAATCTCCATAAAATGACGTGTAAAATTACAATTTTTTAAAATTTTTTAACGGTTTAGTGAACCGATTTGTAATTTTTACAGGAGTTTTAGAATTAAACGGGGAACGTTGTTCCAAATGTTTATTTATCTCGTAGCATTTTGACATACCTCCCAAACATCCTTAAGAGTTCACCAATATTATTTTGTTTTTCTTGACAATTATTATCCAGTCTGGAAGTAGGTATAAACTTTCCGTATTTCAATATTTTTGGTTGGGAATTGTAATAGATTGAACTCCGCGTTAAAACTGTACGTTAGATACTTGCTAGAATTTAGACTTTTAATTGAATTTCCAGTCGTTTAATTAAAAGCAGTTGAAATAATTGCATTTCATTAACGTCAATTAGCTTAATTAAAGTCGTTGTTTAATTTTGTTAGACGAATTGAACATGAATAACCTTTGAAGAAGTCAAAGACAAAGAAAAAGGTGTTTATCCATTTTATCTAAACGTAAAATTTCAATAAAAACATTGACTCTGAAAACTCATCTTTCGATCCTAGAATATGGAAATGTTTGGTCATAAAATAATTTAATTAATTAGTTTGTGAAGGTGTTTCGTCCCTATAGTATTACTATTATACATTACATTGTTTCTCTTACTGTTTGCCCTTCACAAATTTACCAATATTAAACTGGCTAAGGTAATATTTCTGGAAAAGGGATACTACTAATGTAATCATTGTAATCCTTCTTCTGGTTCGTTATAAAGCTTCAGTTCTAATCAATTACGAAAACAAGATAACATGACAAGTAAATTTGCAAAAGCGAGCTTTGAAATTAAGCTCATATTTCCTTATAAATATAATTAGAAAGGGCTAATGTGGAAGAGAGGCTTTCGCCATAATTTTGAATAAATTAATTAAGACGTGTCTTACCATTACGAATGGTTCAAAGTCGTTATCACTTTATTAATAGGCATATGAATACATTATTTAAATCGAGTTCTATTGAGATAGGTAAATAATCTAATTTATTGTCCTGTATTCGTTGTCGAAGAAGGGAATAGCAATTTATAAAGAACGTTAGCCCTTGGTCACTAATTTATCAGGAACATCACATGAAGATCTTGATTAAACGTTATCAAATTGCTACATTTCAGTTTCAAAAATGTTCGACAGGTTTCATCATATAAAATAATTCATCGTCATCATTATAAGGTCGTCAGTCTGGTTGGACACGCAGCTTCACTCTTTCCTATCCTGAGCTAATCTTTCCATTTTCTCAAAACTGGAACATCCCACATCCTTAACTATTTGCGAACAGTAATCTAACCTAGGTTTACTTCTATTCCTTGTAACTTCAATTTCTGGCTCTAATATGTCTCTGGTTAGATCTTTATGCCTGAGAAGGTGTCCTACCAACCTACTGACTTCCATAGAATCTTCTGTTCTCCTATTCTTTCTAATACCTCTTCTAACCTTCTCTATCCACGATATCCTCATCATTCGCTTGCAACACCACATTTCGAACGCTTCTAACCTTTTCTTTTCCGCCGCGCTTATCGTCTATGTTTCGCACCCGTACAGCGCCACGCTTCAAATACACACCTTAAATAATCTTTTTCGAAATTATAAATTAACCGTTCGCGAGCATAGCAGTTCTTCTTTTTATTGAAGGCGACTCGACCCTGCGCTATCTTCTGCTTTATATCCCTACTGAAATCGACTAAATTTTGTAGTAATTCATCCCCAATACATTTTGACATTTCTATTCTACATGCTATGAAAGGTGAAAGTTAGTTGAAATAACTACAGCTACCCTGTTTCGTATAAATGTAGTACCTATTATCTTTATGTTGAATCAATTCAGTAAAGAAGGAAATGAAAATTAGCACTACTGATTCATCTAAAACAGTAAATTTTCGTTGAAATGCTTTTCCCTGGCACACACATAGACGAAAACCATTGACAAAAGGGTCACAGTTTGTTTATTTCAAAGGCTGCTAAAGAGCGCCCATTTAGTCGCAATGCCCTTGGATAAAAAAGGATGCCGGAGCTATTTTTACCCTCAGAGCCGCCTATTATTAAGCTAATTGACCCGAAAGAGGTAGGAGCCACGCTCGATTTGGATTCTAAGCATCTAATCCGATTTGCGCTCAAACCTCATTGAGTTCCGCAGAACAGTGCCGGCGATCTATGTTTATTTTTGCATTAAGGCCAGGAATAATTAGGCTACCCGGTAAAAGGAACAATTACCATCTGAAACGAGTAAAATGCAATTATCCCAAATGAGATGTCATTAAAAGTCGTCTACTTTTTACAAGGTAAAGATTATCGTTATCGGTTAATCGCCTAATTTATTATACTTATACTGACAGATTAAGTGGTGGTTTTAAATATAATGTCCCTAAACAAAAATTTTCAGTCTCTCTCCAGTCTCTCAGTCTTTTAGCGTCTCTGAGAGCATCTCTCACAGTCTCTCAGTTATTGCCTAGGTGTTTTTATGGATCTCTCACAACATCTGTATGAGAGACTCGAACGATAAAATTGTTAATTCAGAAATTCGAGTCTCTCACAGAGAGACTGAATGAATAAAACTGGAAAATTGAGATACTCGAGTCTCTCGTAGAAAGACTGGGATCTTTGAAATATGTTGAACTTAGAAAATGTTAACCATGTCTATGGAGGCACCACTTATTGAGAGATTCGAGTCTCTCGTTTAGAGATTCGAGTCTCTCGTTCAGAGACTGGATATGAAATGAGGTTCTCTCTATGAGCCACTCGAGTGTTAGAGACGTTAAACAGTTTTTTTGACAGTCTCTCTCAGCGACACCAGAGAGACTCGATGACAGACGAAGACTCGAGTTTCTCTTTCAGAGACTCTGAGAGACTGAACATTTTTATCTCGGGGTTAATAATACAGATCAAGAAATATCTTTATCCTTTACTATGAACGTAACCTAATTCCCTGGAACAGATCAACGAAGTTAGTTACCTATTAATTGATCTATCGAAATCTAAATTAACTTTTAAAATTTTTTAAACCATGTTGACCTACGCTTTGACGCTAAGCCGGGCGATAGAGCGGAAATACACATCTCTGGGAATTGCAGAAATAGATGGGAAGTGGTTGGAGGGGACTAATGAGTGAGACAATATGAAGACAGAGGAAAAGTTGAAGATTACTACCCTAGTATTGATTTATTGTAAAGCTTTGTGTAGCAAAGTTTTATAAGTGATATTTTTGTCGTTGTTGTACATACTACGAATAATTTTGTTATCGTTTTTTTCTGTAACAGGATTAAAAACGCTAGAGGATCGTATACTTGTTAAAAAAAAAGTTTTGAAAGGTAGAGCTCACCCCTAGACTAGTTTTTAAAATTAATCGAAAAATGATGGAAAAAAACAAGGGTATTGAATTATCCGGACGGAAAATAAATCAGACAAGAATTTCCAACGAAGGAAAACTTGAAATTAAATTATCTGATATTCTCTTAATTAATCTTCCAACGACTAATTAGATTGCACCTTAATGTTGAGGTTAAAGTTTAAAGATTATCCTATTCCCCTTTTCAGTTTTTAGAAAGACAGTTATGTCGGTAACAGACACTAAGACTACTTAGTGAAATTCAGCTGATTTGTTATATTTAATTGCATCCAAATGAGAACAGACAATTCGATGGAAATTTAATTAGATGTGACTTGTTTCTACCTAATTGTAAATATCAAATCCTACAAAATTTATTTATAGTTACATGATATTAAATTTCTGTTAAGACAAACGTAAAATTGGACGTAAAACCGCCAGTTGGATTTCATTTTATTTCTCGGTAAACAATAATTTAGATACCTAATACGCTATTTCGACGGCTGCTTCAACTATTTACAGAAAAGCAAGAAATTTTAATTGTTCACATTCCGAATATAATCTTTGTTACAAATTCCTCTTGTTATTAAGAAAATACATCTTGTTGTGTTTAATTCTAATATTAGTAAACTTGTTTTTCTGTAGAAACGTTATTAAAACATTGGCATTTTCAAAGGCACAGTTTTTCCTAAAGAAATAACTCCAAAGTACAGCAAATGGATAGTGATTTTGAATTTATTAAGTTCCATCTGCCCAAGATTAACGAATTAGTATTCTCAATCTTTGGAGTAAGTAGTCTTTTTTTGTCAAACTACAAGATTCTTACATACTCCGTAATTTAAAACCAATCTTATTCCTTTTCTGAACTCCTACAATCGGTGCGGTAAACGCCATCTGTAGTACAATGCTATATCTAATGGAAGCTGTCTGAGACGCGCTGTTGAGGCCCAACAAGATCGAATTCGCGATCCGCATCAGTCAGAATACTAACCATCATGAACTTCTTTGTTCCTTTTCTGTTTTATTTAAGCAGAAATGTATGTTACCTACTATTAAACCGTAATACTGTTTTGTTACAGTGAAACCGTTAACGGTGGAGATAGAGAAGAAAGAAGAAACATTTGTTGCTGATAGACGGTACGAAGTTAACTGCACTTCAGCCGGTTCAAGACCTCCAGCAGTTATCACATGGTACAAAGGAAAGCGGCAACTGAGAAGGACTCGGGTAAGTAAGTCGAACTTCCGTTTGAAGTATGTGTACATATCCACCCACACATACATTATATACGTGCGTTCCTTTGTACATACACCTACAAATACATAATATGATGTATTTGCCATTCGCAAACATCATAAACAGTGCAGGGTTATGTTGGCAAAGGCGTCAATTCGATTAACGTTCTAGTTTTGCGGTAGATCATACATATCTGAATTAGTGGACTAGGTTTCAAATGTTTTTCCCATTCGGCCATGATTACGCAGAGTGATTTTAGAATTAGGTGATTGCGAAAATGCCGGACAAGTACTGCACACGAGCATCAACGTGGTTAGATCTTTACGCTAAGAAAAGGATAATTAGAGGTTATATAAATCCTACTTGGGTCAGGCCAGAAAAGAAAAACTTTTGGGTGTTTCATTCCCACCAGTCAGTAATGCTGGTGGGCGGGCAGTCCGTCCGAATTACGCCGGAAGGTAGAGCGGAAGGCCCTTTTCAGCCTCTTTTTAGTAATGGTGGCAATTGGTTGGTGGTGGTTCGGGTGAGAATGATGAGACGGACGAAATGAAGATAGAAAAGAATGAAAGATTATCTGTGGAATATTACTGCGTCAGCATTTACCTAAGTGATCAAGAAAACCACAGAAAAACTTGAACCAAGGCAGACGGTCCCGGAATCGAACCGGCGTCCTCCCAAATGCTAATCAATGGTGTAAATCTTTAGGCCATGCAGCTCGGTCAGACAGAATGGTCTTAACCTTGAAGGATCGAAGTTTTTACTAGTCGACGACCTGCATTACAAAGAATGTCATAGTGGAATGGTCTAGGACCTTTTAAACATGAATAATGCTAAAAAATAACCCCTCTACAAAATGTTCTTTTAGGTTTATTGTCTTTGAAACACGCTAAGGCGCAAGTATAGTATAATAACTTTTTCTGAAAAAAAAAAATTAAAAGGTTAGGATATGGACTGTGGTAGTTAAACTATTGAAACTGTTCATANATCTTTTTAATTTAAGATTAAGCCGATTGAAAACTTAAGCTTAATCTACTTTGTCCTTTCTTTCCAGTTCCACCTGAGCAAACTGTCATTTTGGACAAATGGGGCCGGAAACTAAATGGCACGGTAGGTCCCCACGAAGAAGGCGATGACGTCTACTTAACATGTAGAACGGTCGGAGGTCATCCCGAGCCTGTTGTCCGCTGGTTGGTCAACGGTATCATTGAAGATGAGCAGTACGAACATAACGCAGGGGATGTTATCGAGAATCGCTTTTTGTGGCCATCCGTTACAAGGAAAGACGTCGACGCAATCTTTACTTGTCAGGCATTCAACACACAACTGATTGACCCCAAAGAGGCCATGGTCACTCTCGACTTGAACTGTAAGTAACAATCGAAGGAAACACTATTTTCAGTTAAGTTCAGTCTTCCATATCTAAAAGGGTAAAACAACCTGACTGCATGTGGCGTGCTGATGATATCTAGTAATATCAAAATCGTGATCTACGTCTGTCAGTTTCAATATATTAATGCCCGAGAACTTATATCGAGCTTATGGAACCGTATATTGTACAAAGTTAGTTAAGACTTAAGGATGTTTGAGAGGTACAATCGGAGATAAGAGTACATAAAATTAGAAATTCGTGATTAATTAGGTTTTGCAGCATATCATGAGGTAAATAAATACTATCTATACTGAAAAAAAATATACGGTTTGAAAGAAAATTTGGAATTTGACCAAAAACTTTGAATAAAATAAGAAATAACGAATAATATGGAAAATTTTTAACTGACTTTTGGCAGTGAATATGCCTTGATTTCAACTTCCAAATAAAAAAATATTTAGTTTCAATCTCTATTAATAATGAGGGCAAAACTTTTTAATATGTTTAAATAATAACTAAAACTTTAAAATTGCATTTATTTCAGACAATTGTAAATATTATAATTATATTATCAAGTAAAAACGAGATTTTCAGTTAATTTTTCATTTTTTCCTCGATAACCATTTAGTGAATTTGAATAACCTTACGCTAAAGTGATTCTCCAGAGTTCAAGTTACTTATTATTATAAAAGTTTGAAATTTCTGGTA